CTGGCTATAACTATACTCCCAAAGTGAATCATATTCTTTTAAAACAATAAAAGCTAAGACCCTTTCTTTTCAAAATTTGCTCCCACCATTAGAAAAACTTAACTCTTCATTTTAATATATCAAATGAAGTCTTGGTACCAACACAGTTATCATGAATTTATATATTTTAAATCAAAGCAAAATATTGCATGGTATGTTTTCTTACATTAGTGAATTCTCTAGTTGTTTTGCCAGAATACTAAGTATAGGCTGTCTTCCCTAATTTGCTAAAATTGTAAAGAGTTTACTAAAATGGATTATTAAAAAATACTAATAGACTTGAAACTACCACTACAATTTTCAAAATAAATGCTTTGGGGATGATTTGCCACTTTGCTTTGTTTTTTAAAACCATAATTCTTTTCTATATAAAGTGTTCCTCACCCTTTTTCATCTCACTCTTTATTCAATATTTATCACTTCTTAAAGAAGTGAGTAGATAATGAAAAATAAAATTACCCTCTCCCCAGTCCATTTTACTCACCTACAAAATGGGCTGGGAATAGTAGGTATCACATAACAAAGTCCTCCATTCAGGCAGAATGACCTGTGACTAGGACCACAGGGCTCTTCGTGATCTAAAACATATACACAAATAAAAGACAAATTATAGTTTTTCTAGTAAAATAAGGAAAAGGACTAACTATCTTAGATTGAAGTAGTAATTTTAAAAATTAGAATAAAAAACTGTTTATTAAAATGAAGGACTTAGTCTTATTCCTTATTTGATAAGCAGGGACTTCTATCTCTTTGAGGGAAAGAAACCAATCTGTCTTAAGGATATGGCCATTAATTACAATAGAGTTAAAAACTGTATTGCAGAAATAGGGACTGTCTCTAATATATTAAGGGCTTCCCTGGTGGCTCAGTGGTGAAGAATCCGTCTGCCAACACAGGAGTCACAGGTCTGATCCCTGAGTTGGGAAGATCCCCTGGAGAAAAAAAAATGGCAACCCACTTGAGTATTGTTGCCTGGGAAATTCCATGGGCAGAAAAGCTGGGTGGGCTACAGTCCATGGGTTCAGGGAAGAGATGGACACAGCTTAGCGACTAAACAATATAGTAGATTAAAAGGAGAAGACCAGTATCTTAAAATAAATAGTGGCTTTTCTCATCCAGTACAGCTTTGCTTAGAGTTCTGTCCCAATAGTATATTTAGATTCCTATCTTTCCTTTAAGGTCTCAGATACATTAAAGTCTGAAATTGCTGTGGGAAAAAATTTTAGATTATTAAATAAATTCTGATGTTCAAAATCATCTTTAAGTATTTCTATATATGACAATTTTAACATCAAAAAAACAAAAATATCTTAATAGGTTTTGATTTGCAAGGGGACTTTAGGTAATAGCTAGTAACTAGACAGACATATTTAAAGTCCTCAATAAAACTGAAAACAGTAATACCATCATATGGGATACAGCAGAAATTTTTGGAATATTAAAAAAATGAATCTCTGTATCTCTCTTCCTTTCTCTCCTCTTTCTCCCTCCTTTCTTCCTTCCTCATCTTTGACCTTTCCATTATGCATCTTTCTCTGCCTTCCCTTTTTCTCTTGGTACCTATCCCTCCCTTCCAGACTAAAGCTCCTCACTCACTCTTAGAAAAAAAATCCCCCAAAACCATTAGACAGAAAAATTTAGAAACAAACATAGCAGAAGTTATAATGTTATGTGTATAATAAGTTATATATACTATATACTTTAAATATGTCTTTATAATTACTCATTGAGTTATACTACTATAGACTACTATTTATGATTAGAAAAGTCAATTGCTGAATGCTTTATCTTTTGATCCTGAAGGGGGAATTATTTAATACATTGCTTTAAAATTGAACTTTGTTGGTTCCTGATCATTTCTGTGCAGAAAGTGATGTAGAATCTTATGTGAAGAAGAAAATGGCATTGTTCCAATTTGGCATTTTAAAAAATAGCGCACTAGTTTTAAAAAAGTTATTTAGCATTTATTTGCCACTAAGATATTAATACCCTTAAGATATAATTACTATTGAACCAGATGTCTTCACTGTCAGAATTTGAACTTTGCTTTTATTTTAAATTGATTCACCCTTACATTACAATTATAAAAATATAAAAATGTAAAGAGGAAAACAGAACTTACAAAGAATTTAAGTGGAAGAAAGGAAAGTAAACCAACCAGAACTAATCTTCTAATTTTTTTCTTTTTTACACAATGTTATGCTTCTTTACTAAAGGAAATCAGTCCTGAATATTCATTGGAAGGACTGATGCTGAAGCTCCAATACTTTGAAAACATGATATGAAGAACTGACTTACTGGAAAAGACCCTGATGTTGGGAAAGATTGAAGGCAGGAGGAGAAGGCGACGACAGAGGATGAGATGGTTGGATGGCATCACCGATGCAATGGACATGAGTTTGAGCAAACTCTGGGAGTTGGTGATGGACAGGGAAGCGTGGCGTGCTACAGTCCATGGGTCACAAAGAGTTGGACACGACTGAGCGACTGAACTGAACTGATGCTTCTTTACGACAAAACAACTTTTTCTTCTTTTCAAAACAACTTTTTATAAGATAATTCTTAAAATTTTCCAGGAATAATTTGGCTGACAAATAAAATCCCAGTTGACATTACATTATGTTAGAATTATGGACATCATCACATGCAGTTTTCCATTGAGGGTGGAGTGTCAACTTTATCACAGAATGCTTCCTGTAGCTGAAATTAATGTCCTTGTTTTTAATAGGATCACAACCAGTTATGACTCAACATCTGGGATTTTATCAGTAAGGAATACTCATCTAACCTGAATCACTATCTCTGAATCTATTTGTATTCTGATTTCATTTACTTATTTGTAAAGTTGATAGCAGATTTAGAGTACACCAGAATTAGTCTGTAAAATGTGATAAAATGTAGGTCTAAATAAAATAGTTCCATGTTATAAAGCAAGGTCTTTCAAAACCAAGGTATTTCATATTTCTAGGATAATTGTAGGTGGGAAAAATACAGTCTTGTATTGATATAAATTTCTTTTTTGTTTATATTTCTATGATATAAATTTTTTGACACACGTTGACAAAAGTATAAACTTACAAGAAATTACCTGTTGTCATCTTAACTTCTAAATAGTTTCATTCTTGGTAGAAAGTTTAGGGTTGAAAAACAGCACCTAAAATTAATAATTCAGGAAAAATTATCCTCTTTTGATAGCATTACAAAATTTCAAATATTGTAACAATAATATTCTTTTAAATGATGAAAATAATTAAGCATTTATAGGCTAGGGACAAAATTCTTTGGTTAGAGCATCTATAGTTTAGATACTTATCATATATATCAGTAAAAAATATGAACAGGTAAAACTAAAAGATCAATAAACAGTATAAATGCACTAGATACAAATCACTGCCTAAGTAATATAATGCAATCTTAAATCTCTCTCTGAAGAAAAGTCTAATGTTTTACTTTTAATGAAAGTGAAAGTCGCTCAGTCGTGTCCGATTCTTTGTGACTCCATGGACTATACAGTCCATGCAATTCTCCAGGTGAGATTACTGGAGTGGGCCATGTCCTCCACCAGGGGATCTTCCCAACCCTGGGATCAAACCCAGGTCTCCTGCATTGCAGACAGTATCTTTACCGGTTGAACCACAAGGGAAGCCCAAGAATACTGGAGTGGGTAGCCTATCCCTTCTCCAGCAGATCTTCCCAACCCAAGAATCGAACAGGAGTCTCCTGCATTGCAGGTGGATTTTTTACCTACTGAGCTATCAGGGAAGACTAATAAACAATGTTAATTTAGTAGTATACCATATGAGATTCTATATGAAAAATACTAGTCTATAAGCAAAAATGAATGACTTGAAATTGACATTTTAACTTTCTCATAAAGCCTATTTCTAATTTGACTTTTCAAAAGAACAAGTTTCAATTTTTAAGTTTATTAAAAATGACCAAAAGGTTTGCATTTCTACAGAACTTTAAAAATTTTTATAAAAGTACTTTTAAATTTGCTGTAGATTACATATCACATTTACCAATCTACATGTACCTTTCTTTTGAAAAATGTCTAGCATCTGGCAAAACAAAGGAGCTATGTATTAAGTTATCTGCTATAACAGAAACAAAGGAATTCCAAAAGACATTTAAAAAGATGATAGATTTATACTTACATTATGATTATGTGCTCTAATTTTCATTTTATAAAAGAGACTTACTCCTGACTTAAGGAAAAAGACTTTTGTAACAGAAATCTCAGTCAACAACTTCCTATTAACATAGGTGTAATAAGCAAGATCTTCTCTCAAAGCAAGTCACTCTTAGACAAGCAGTGAGAGAGACAAAGATAGAAATTAAGCCTATTTAATTTGAAATAATCACCGGTTCAATGTATGAGTTTCTTTTTCTAAAGAAACAGGCTTACCTCAATAAAAATTTACATTCATACAAACAATAAATTTTGTTGGATAGGCAGCATTTCAAGTTTTTGAATAATGCAGTCTGCAGCAGCTGTGCCTTGCCCTTTATAATCCGTCAAAAATCTGATTTATATAGCTGCAGTGCGCAGTGTGGGTGCAGTTGAGAAAGACCAAGATGTGCACAAAGGTCAGGTACCAGCCAAGGGAACCAGCCCTTTCAGTCCACATGTTCAGAGTTAAAAATGGAGCAGAATTTTATTTAGAAAAGAAGTTGTTCTAAGCTGCCTTCTCAAATCACATTCCAATATTTTCAAGTGATTAAGTAAACCATATTCATTTGGCTCCTAACTTATCTTTGTAGGGCTGAATAATTCCATCATGGTGTATAACTTTGTGAAGAAAAGGAATTTTAACACGGAGTTAGTGGACAAGTATTTCATGGATTTTTTTTTCGGTCTGACCCAAACAGTTTATTTTTTTAGCATAAACATATAACATCAATATGAGATGTCTAACTAAAGCAAGCACCACCAACAAGACCAAGACGGCATCTCCCTTCTAAGATTTAGGTTTTTCCCAGAATTCTTCATATAGGTAACAGCCCATACCAAGAGTCATTGCTCCCACAACAAAGCCTTGGGCTGCCACACGCATGTGGAGCAGGTGAACAGACATTTTAGTACTTCCCCTGCTCTTCAATCTATATAATCCATATGCAACAACTGCTGCAAAACCTGCCATTCCAATGGGGACAAATGGTGCCTCTCTAGCTTTTCGGATAAGTTTAGATCCCTGATCTTCATCATACGAAGAAAGAGAAACATCTGTGTCACTTGACATAGTAACTGAAGAATCTTCAGACAACTACAAGACGTTTCAGGTTCTTACTAGCTTCTGACCCCACTCCTGCACCCGCCCTCCATGGATTTTTTAAATTAATTAGTTTATTTTAATTGGAGGCTAATTACTTTTACAATATTGTGGTGGTTTTTGCCATACATTTACTTGAATCAGCCACAGGTGTACATGTGTCCCCCGGTCCCAAAGCCCAGTCCCACCTCCCTCCCCATCCCATCCCTCTGGGTTGTCCTAGTGTACTGGTTTTGAGTGCCCTGTTTCATGCATCAAACTTGGACTGGTCATCTATCTCAAATATGGCAATATTCATGTTTCAATGCTATTCTCTCAAATCATCCCACCCTCACCTTCTCCCACAGAGTCCAAAAGTCTGTTCTTTTTATCTGTGTCTCTTCTGTTGTCTCATATATAGGGTCAGTGTTACCATCTTTCTAAATTCCATATATATGCATTAATATACTGTACTGGTGTTTTTCTTTCTGACTTACTTCACTCTGTATAATAGGCTCCAGTTTCATCCATCTTATTAGAACTGACTCAAATGTGCTCTTTTTAATAGCTGAGTAATATTCCATTTCCATAGGGTTTTTTAAAAAAGGAATATCCTTACAAAATATATAACATTTACATAAATAATGCTTTGAAGTACTGAGAAAATTAAAAGAAGGTAACAGTTACAATACAGCGTACATACAATACCATGTTCAGTTTGAAACATAAACAATAGCAAGTAATTACAAAAATGTTTTAGGCTGACAATGCAATTCAACTTAATATATTTTCACAGACACCTATTTATGTCACTATATTAACACACACAGAAACAAACCTTAACTATTAAGGAGTATCAGAGAAAGATTCTGAGAGGGAGCTTTATTTGTGCTGAGCCTTGAAGAATGAGTAAGAGTTTGTTGTTTTCCAATAGAGGTAACAGCATGTTCAAAGGCACAGAAGAAAGAAAATCCTAATGTATTTAGATAACAGCAGATAGATTACAGGTCATGATGTGTTCAGGATGTGTATGTGGTTTTATAAGAGGAGAGGATGGTGAGGGAAGGAATGGCAAGAACAAGCCTTGTAAAATAAGGAGGGTTCAGACAGTGGACTTTATCTAAAGGGCAATGAGGTTTCTTGGAAAGGTTTTTGTTAGCAAAGAAGGGGCATGACCACACCTACATTTTAGAAAATTCATTTTGATAATGGTGTAGAAAACAGACTGCAATCTACAGAGGAACTGCTACCAGAGAAAACTATTTGGAGGCCATTTTAATAATCAAAAATAGTGAAGAAATAAAGTAATGGGAATGAGCATAAAGGAGAGAATTAAAGATATACTAAATCGGTACACTCACAGAATGGGAGAGCAGAGTACAAAAAGAAAAATCAAGGCTAACCTTCAAGTACACATTGTGATGTGCTCAGTCATGTCCCACTCTTTTCAACCCCATGGACAGAGGAGCCTGCCAGGCTCCTCTGTCCATGGGGATTCTCCAGGCAAGAATACTGGAGTGGGTTGTCATGCCATCCTCCAGGCAAGTACCCATTAGGGAAATGTATATGAAAACCACAAAGAGATGGGACCTCCCTGGTGGTCCAGTTGATAAGAATCTGTATTGTAATGCAGTGGACAAAGGTTCAATCACCAGTTAGGGAACTAAGATCCCACATGTCAGGAAGCAACCAAGCGTGCGTGTGGCAACTACAGAGCCCATGCACTCCAGAGCCGGCACACATCCCAACTAAAGAGAAGCCCCTCTGCTGCAACAGAAGATCCCACATGCCACAACAGCCAAAAATAAACAAACAAAAATACTTTAAAAAATCTACAATGAGGCACCATTTCACACCTTACTAGAATGTCTATAATAAAAATGGCAAACAATAACAAAGAGAAACTAGATCTCTCATACATTGTTAGTGGGACTATAAAATGGTACGGTCATTTTAGAAAATAATTTTATAGCTTCTTAAAAAGTTAAAATATAAATTTTCCATGCGTGCATACTAAGTTGCTTCAGTTGTGTCCACTTCTATACGACCCCATGGCCTGTAGCCCACCAGGCTCCTCTGTCCATGGGATTCTCCAGGCAAGAATAATGGAGTGGGTTGCCATGCCCTCCTCCAGGGAATCTTCCCGACTCAGAGATTGAACCTGGGTCTCTTACATCTCCTGCATTGGCAGGCAAGTTCTTTAGCACTAGTGCCACCTAGGAAGCCCAAATTTGTCATAAATGAATCCAAGAGATATGGAAATATGGATTCACACAAAGACAAGACCATAACATTTAGAACATTATTCATAATGCCCCAAACTAGAAAACAACTCAAATGTCCATCAACTGATAAACAGATAAACAAAATGTGGTACAGCCACACAATGGAATACTATTCAGCAGTAAAAAGGAATGGAGTGTTGGTACATGAATTTCAAAAACACACTAAGTGAAAGAAGCCAGTCACAAAAACCACATATTGTATGATTCCATTTATGTGAAATCTTTAGAAAAGGCAAATCAAAAGAGATAGGAATAGATAAATAATTACTTGGGACTGGGGCTAGGAAATGATACAAATGAACACAAAGGATCTTTTTAGAATGATGGAAATATTCTACAATTGGATTGTTGAGGCAGTTGCAAATTTGATAAGCATCATTGATCAGGCTAAAAAATAGGTGAATTCTATGATATATAAATTATGTTTCAATAAAGCTGTTAAAATAAAAAAGTAATACTGAAACAGAGTTCATGGGTAAGATAATGATTTCTACTTGGACATGTTAAATTTAAAATGCTACTGGGACATAAAGAAGGAATTACCTGAAAATGCAAATCTTATATGCAGGATAACAATCAACTTAAGAGATACAGGCAGTTCCTGAAGTCATTTATGCGAGTAAACTAGCTCACAGTGTGCATGTGTTGGGTGAGACAGAGGCTATGGGCTGATCCCTGAAAAATACCAACATTTAATGTTTGAAAAAGGAGCCTGTTAAGAAATTATCAGAGAAACAAGAACAAACATGACCAATGGCAAGCTCTTCTTCCACAATTCAAAACGCTTATCCCCTCTATTTCTAAATTTAGCACTTTAGTCAACATCTAACCCCCAGCAATGGAAGATGAGGCTTCAGCTGTCTTACACTACCCTCTACCTCTTTGATTTGAATCTTTGATAAGTTACACTGTCTCTATTTCTTCTCTTGGTTACATCTGCAATTTTAAATAACATACTCATACTTCTATGTCCTCATTAATGAACTTGAGTCAATTCACAGACTGGCTTCTTAACTTTACAGCTAACTTGGCTTCCAACTTTTCTCTCCCCTCTTCCTCTTTCTGCCTCGGTAGCTTTATCTTGACTCCTACATCATGAAGGATTTTAACATTTACATTCTCATCTGTGACCCTAACAAAGTGTTTCATAACTTTGCCTCTAGATGTAAAAGTTGAAAACCAATAAACTACAGTTTTATCAATATTACTATAAATAGTAGTCACAGCAGATCCATGCTGTGTGAATATTTCCTGTTCTTGTTTCAAGGCCACAATACTTGGGCTATTCATAAGATAATATTCCCAACAGCAAGATAAAATAGATTCTCTTCAACTCCAGATTGATTAAAATCATGCTGCATTTGAATATGTGTTTTATTTGTACCTTGCTTTTCTTACACAGCTTGAGAGCTTGAGAGTTGCCTTCTTTTTGGTGGGCGGGAGGGACAACTGAAGAATACTGTGCTTTATCATAACATGTCAAATATTCAGCTGCTTTTTTTGTAGTATAGGGATTTATTTATACCAATAGCACATGATCCAGCATAAAATCAAATCTATTGAAATGTTTACTCTGTGACTTCCTAATAATTCAGGGACAGGGCTACATCATCTAATCCTTCACACACCAGGAGTCCAAGGTAGGAATTTCTTAAACCACAGGTACGTGACTGCACAGAGTCTGCACCAGTGCACTGCTGGTGCTCAGTCCTGAGTGACCCTGGTTGTTCTCCAATGGCTCTTTCGAGAACTGTGCTCTGGAAGTCAACATCAGTGAAAATGGTGTCTGTACCTGGGAGCCTGGCCATGGTCTCCAGGTCCTGGTAATGCCAGTGGTTCTGTCTGGATTATTCTTGGAGACAAAGGACTTCCTGGTTTCTGTCAGCCTCAGCATCACAACTAGGCCCACTTTTCCCTCAATCTGAACTTTATACCATGTTTCAGGATTCACTTTCTTCCTGGGCACAAACATCGTTTAGCAGAATGGTAATTCCCAGGTCAGCACAGTGAAAGGGAGTGACAAGGCAGGCACCAGTAAACAAAGGGAGCCAGTAGGCCAGCCTCCCGGGCATGGTCCACCATGGTCCGAGACATCGTGTACAGCAACTTGGAGGTCAAAGTGCCTCCTGACCTTCACTGGCCTGTACTCCAGATGTTCCGGTTCCATTGGATCTGCTGGCAGAGAAATGGGCTTGGTAATCACTCTAGACTCTAGCTCTGCCATCAACTTTAGCTTCCACTTCTGGCACTGGACTTGCCATGTGCCTGGACCGAAGGTAGTAACAGGAATGAGAAGCAGAAACCACTACAGAAAGGAGCCGTCTTCTGTTTCTGTGGCAGATGCTTCGGCTTAAGAGCTGCCACACCTGCTGGGCCTCGAGGCCAGTCCTTGGGAGGAACATGCAAACTGGAGATTAGTTATGCTTTCCTTTAGGATCCCAGGCCCCTGGGTTTCAGTTTGGGGTTGGCTCCGCATTAGCCCAAGGAGGCACAGGAAGGTACTGCATGTCGACAGTCAAGTGTGTAACCCAGAAGTGTAGGAGGAGTCAGTCGGGGCTGTCACGAGGACAGAATTCTCATCAGAGTAGGCATGCAACCAGGGCCTGATGGCCTGATTCAGAGGCTCAGCCAGCAGCCCCAGAGCATATTGCAATGCCCCTACCCACCCACCCTCCTGGGCCAAGTGAAGGCAGGGACAGAGCAGTT